AATCCATGCAGACATCAACATATCCATAGGTAATGTTTGAAAAAAAAAATTGTGAAATGAAACTCTTCCTAGTCCATCAATATTTTTGTGTTAACAGATCATAAGATTCATACCCATAATATGATTACATAAAGAATTGGTACTTCAGCTTAAAAAATATAACAAAATATACTGATATCTTCCGTATAGAATTTTAAATTTAAATCCAAGGTTTTTATTGGCACATTTGTCAATCAACTAGAAAATAAAAATGTTATTTTCCACTATGAAAAAGCTGTTATCCAAACCAAAGCAAAACTTGTTTTATCCGCTCATAAAAAAGATATTATTACTGGCAGATGGGTATTATTCATCATTTTCATATATTTATATCTCGAGCACTCATAAATCACTAATGTATATAGTCAGCTGAGTTAAGATTAAACAGTGTACTACAAAGTTAAAATGTTAATAAATTATCTACTATACATTTTTGCAACACTTTTAAGGGATCCTAATCGGGTCGGATTTTGATTCAATTTTGACCCGGAAATCTCAATCGGATCTTTCCTTAAATTTTGGCAAAATCTACTATACATTTTTGCAGCAGTTTTTGGGGTACCCAAATCGGGTCAAAATTTGTTTAATTTTGACCCGGAAATTTAATGTTTTTGACCCGGAAAAATCAATCTCGGATCTTACCTTAATTGAGCATTTTACCCGAAATCTTTCACCAAATGCTTCCATATTTGCTGCTACCTACATTCAAGGCTTAAATGATTAAGTTTCTCATATTTGAAAGATTTAAAGATATATAGAATATATATAGTTATAAGAAATTGATCCTAAATACAAAATGTTTCCTATTAAAAGGCGAGATAAACGATTTCATCTAGAATCTGTATAACTAATTGATCTTATATACAAAATGTTTCCTAGAATTATATAAATATCAAAAACGAAATTATTAGTTTGAGTTTAGGAAAATATCAGCCGTATATATCTTTTAAACAAACCAATATTCTATAATTAAATTGTTTCCTATTTAAATGGTAAAGATTTTGAGTCCATTAATATTTGTTTCCTAAATAAAATGAACCATATCAAATCGACATTAATCAACAACTGATTTTTAAGTAAATGACTAAAGCATATTCTTTAAACATGCTATATTCAATTCTTAATTTCTCGAAGATATCTTGACATTTATTTCGGATTTCTTATTATGTAAATGTTAGTTAATGATATCTAACAAATCTGGCTTGATCACAAAGCTATTTTCGAATTTTTATAAAACCTAAGGCCAAGAGACTATAACCTCTATAAATAGGTTTTCGATAACAGAAAATTATCACATCAGCAGAGATTTTACCTTTTAACACAATAAAAGAAGACTTTTCAGAAATCAATGGCTGCTTCATTCTCCAATCTCATAGATTTGAGACTTTACAAAGCTTCATGTGCGTCCAAGTTTAAGATCCTGCATTCATGGATAATATACTGTCAAAAAGGGAGACTCTTGATATGGTCTAGACTGATGAGGAAGTCAGTTTTCATGTACTGAAATTTGGTTCTAAACCTTTTTCTTATTAACTAACTTGATATGTTATATGTCTTAGGGAGCAAAGACAACTCTTTTAAACTATGATAACTTGATCTGCATACGAGGAATACCGAGAAAATCAGGTAGGTTGCATCTATCTTTTACAAACTATGATAATTTGTTAAATCATGTTAAGCTGTTGATGGGATCATGATGATCTGTGTTACCTTTTTTGTTGTCTCTTCTCATTTTGCTTATCTTACTGATGTTTCACAATGAAGATAAGCAAATCCGTGTAAAAATCTTGAGAATCTGGAAGCAAAAGGGAGTTCAAGATGAAGCAATCGAGTTATAATTCCTTGATGATAAGGTACTATAATTAGCTAGCAAAAATCTTATTCATCTTTTTTATTTCTACATATATATTTAGCGAGTTCTGTTTTTATTTGTTTTAGATTCAATATTACTAATGGGGAAGGTTGTTCTCAAGTATCTTTGATCCACAAATTCCAGAATTTACAAGATTAGGCAAACGTAACCTTATTCTAACCAAGGTAAATAATTAGTGTTGGGTGTTTGACAACAAGAACATCATTTAGTTTACTTTAAAAAAATAACAATACTTACTTAGAGCTACTGGATTGATTGTTATCAAGCATTGGCCTATAAAACTATAACTATAAGATAGATGCATAAACGGATCCGAGAGAAAGAGATTACCATTTCTTGCATGTGCTAATTATATTAGAGTTATTAAATCAACTGGCCAGAGATTTTGAGAACCTGAAATTGAACAAAGACAACGCCTGTTAGAACAGGAGATTATGAAGCATCTTATAAAGAAAAGTCCGACCAGAGAGACTTAGAACAAAAAAATTGAACGAAGTGGTTGAGAAATCAGAAACCAAAGATTCAACTAAGCATGTGATCTCTTACGATTAAAGTCAAATTGAATGAAACAACGACGGGTAGTCTGAGAAAATATATCCCGTCGTTGCAACGACCTCTCCTCCCGCATATAGGATGATCTTCTCTGTAATAATCGCTTCCATATTGATTCAAATATGTCGATGCTTTGATTCGGGAGGCTGAACTAACTGTCTGAAATCGAACAGCAAGACTTCGCCAATCAAATCCCCATCGAGCTTCTGAAATGCTTCAGACATGGTTCTCTGTTTGTCCTCCTTCAACCTCCATTATCGAATCTTCTTCTCTGTTCAATCGATTCATCATCTCAGCCTCGAGGAATCCGTACATGATTACTCTCCTTCTTGGGCCATCTCTTCTTTCTAGCCACCATTGGGCTTTTTCTGATTCAAAATTGGCTCTCCTTCGAAGTGTATTGGACTACGTAGCCATTGGGCCATGTAACATTTTAATTCTCATGCTTTTAGTAGAATATCTTTTATCCCAACAAAAATGTAGTAGACTAAAATATTTTACATTATATTAGTTTTGGTATAATATACTCCCTCTGTATTTGAAAAAATGTCGTTTCAACTGTTTTTGGGTGAATTAAGAAAGGGCACAGAATTACAAAACTAACCTTATGAGAAACGATTATTTACAATTATATTTTTGGTATCTGTAGTTTTGGTAATTTAGACTGATTAATTATGATCAATTAATTGGGGGTAATTTAGGAAATTTTATGCAAAAATTGTTAAAATGACAACTAATTAAAAACACAGGAAAAAGGCTAGAACGACATTTATTCAAATACGGAGGGAGTAATATTTTTTTAAACGGGTTCTTTTCATTATTTTAAATATATATCACTAATCTAAAGATGAAGTGGATCAAATAAATATATATTTTTAAACATATTATAAATATTTATTATATCTAGCCTAATTATTTATTTCGAGTAAAATAAATTATTTATTTCATGAAATACATTATTATATTTTGAATCAAACTGTTATATGATTGTGTGAACCATTTAAAATAAAAAAATTTAATTTTATTCGAATGATATGTTTTTTAAATAAATGTATTATTAAAAAAAAATAACAAAATGATGTTTAATTTCACGTGATGGGTTATATGGTGATTGGTAAGACGGGTTGTGGCAATATTAATACGGAACGGTATACCACGGGTGAAATTCTAAAAATAATAATCAAAATACATTTATACAATCTTAAACATTAAACAAAATAAATAATATTAACAAAACAAATATAACTTAAATTTTATATTTTTAGTTATAAATAAAATTTACCTGCTGTGTACCTAAAATCAAACATAAGTCTATACCAATAAAACATTAAAAAAAAAATTAATACAACAATAACAATATATATATATATATATATATATACATACATACCCAGTGGTATACCAAAAATCTATATAACAAAAAATATCATAAGTTTATAACAAAAAGTAATTCAAGAAAACAAGATAAAAGACAAAATAACATTAGACTACATAATCTCGGAAATTTACGACTAACTACAAACCGTAGATTATTAATTATCTTTTTTTTTTTTTCGATAACCGAGTGTCCTGGCCCCACCGAAATGGTCCAGACTAGAGACCGAACCCTTACGGCACGGACTCGGCCGCGATTAATCATCTTTTTATAATCAACAAAAACAAAAACAACAACAACAAGAAATACTATACACAAAAAATTCATCAGTTTCTAAAAACTAAGCATAAATAAAAAAAAATTAACCCGCGGTGTACCGCGGGTCATATCCTAGTTTAAAAACGAAATTAATTAATAAAATATTTTCTCAATTACTTATTATATCTAAACTCTTTATTTATGGTATATTATTTATGATTTTTATAGATAAGGAAATCAAATATGATGATTTAATGCTAATATAACAAATTTGAGCTAATTTCCTAAAACCTCTCTACCTAATTTATACATAAATATATGATTCTCATTTCACTTTTATTTGATCTTATATTTATATTATTTGAATTATTATAAAATATATGTAGTTAATAAAACCTTAGATTTTTTCCTGCATATGCTATGATTCAAATTTTTTGAAACGGACATATATTACTTAATCAATGAAGAAAAAAAGTATGTGTGTAATATATATAAACATTTTTGAAGAACAAATTTGCGCATTTAATTAGGTCGTTTTTTTTCTGACCCGGAATTGAATCATTTAGATCTTTCCTTAATTTCTACAATTATCCAAAGCGGGACCGTATACCACGGGTGAAATCCTAAAATTAACAAATCAAAATACAATTATTTAGTATTTTAAGATAAAATTATAAATTGTTTTTACGGGTTGGTCCAAAAACACACACTAATTTAAAAATATATATATATATATATATATATATATATATATATATATATATATATATATTATGGAAACCATTTGAAAGCAAACTTTTAAATTGACTCGAATTATATGTCTTTTAAATAAAAGTGTTATTAAAAAAATAACAAAATGATGTTTAATTTCACAAGACGGGAATATATAGTGAGACGGGTTTGGGTCGATATTAATACGGACAATATACCACGTGTAAAAATCCTAGAATTAACAAATCAAAATACAATTATACAATCTTAAACACTAAACTAAACAAATACAACTTAAAATTTTCAATTTTATAGTTACAACGCATGTGATCCGCGGTATACCAACAAATTATATTATACACAACAAATTCATCAATTTACAAAATGATTAAAAAATCAAATAATTAACCCGTGGTGATATCCTAGTATGATCAGATATTTGCGACTTATATAAGTATTTTGGAACTGAATATGCGGAATAAAAAGTTACACATGCGTAATGAGCCAGAAACACCCTCCTCGACTTACCTTTTTAGCTACGTCTAATCCCGTAATGACACGTGTCCATATACCGTCGCTTACTTTAATTTTATTTTCTGAAACAATGAATACAAGACTTTCATAAGATAATGACGAAACTAACCTTCATGTATAGGCCCAAGAGCCCGTCCATAAATATGAACCTCCTACAATGCAATTCTCCCCTTTTCCCCTTCTACTCTCTCTTACGTCTACGTTTTGAGATAATTAAGTTCTCTTTCGGTTTATATTTTGAGAAGCATTACTATGTCTACAATTTCTCCGGTTTTTTCATCTGAGCCGGTTTTTGCCAATCATGTACCGGCTTTGGAAACTGGATTCACCCCATGGGACGCATCCGATCTATTCTCCTTCTTCGATTCACCGGTTAGTCCCATGGAAATGAATCCCGGTTTGGAAAAAACAAACCCAAGTCAAATTCAAAACCAAAGTTATTCCAATCCCGGTTTGAAAGATAAACCCTTGGACTGTACCGGCTCGAACGATGTCGATGAGCGGCGAAAGAAACGTAAATTATCAAACCGGAAATCAGCTCAGCGGTCGAGGATCAAGAAACAAAAACACCTAGAAGACGTGAGAATCGAACTTAACAAGCTCAAGATCGAGAACCGGGAACTAGAGAACCGGCTCCGACACGTTTTGTATCATTGTCAACGTGAACAGATGGAAAATGATAGTTTACGGTTGGGGCTCCGTGTTCTCCACGAGAAACTGTTGAACTTACGACAAGCTTTGGTCATGCGCCAAATCCAACAGAGCTCAACGTGTGCTACGTGGTCATGTATTAATAGCCTTGTTTGAAAAATCGCTAGGCGCTAGTCGGGCGTTCGGCATGGGCCTAGCGATTAATCGGAAAATCGGATTAAAATCGGGGATTAATCGGGGATTAGTTTTAGGGTTATTTTAATATTTTTAAAACATATTAATCCAATATTATTTTTAAAATTGCAGTAAACACATAAAAATGTATTTTTGAGACAAATATTTATGATTTTTATTAAAATATGAACATAAATTATTGTAAAACATTACAAACTCCCAATTCAAATGATTGAATAACAAAAATAAAAAGTTTTTTTATACTGGCAATCTAAAAATAATCGGGGTATGTAAGATTAGGCGGGGAATAATCGGATTAGGCGGGGAATAATTGGATTAGGCGGAGAGTAATCGGGTGACTGATTTCTTTAAGGGATTAGTCATTAATCGAGGCGGACAGGGTGAGCCTAGCGATTAAGCGGGGAGTAATCGGGTCTAGGCGGGGATTTTTAGAACAATGATTAATAGTACCGTTGTAACGGTCCTACAGAATCCATCGATAATATAAGAAATCACGTAATTTAAGATTTAAAAACATAATATGCATCGTTTTAGACCAAGACGTATCATGAGATACTAGGAGTCTTTTTTTTTTTTTTTTTTTTTTTTGATAAAGTACTAGGAGTCTTTTCTACTTCTTTTGTAAACAAATTCCGAGAAGCAATAATTTTACTGATCATACGCTATAGTTTTATGAGGAAATCATAATATTTTGTTATACAAATCTTTCTCTTTTTATTTATTTTATTTTGTAGACGGGTTATCATATCGATAAGATAATCACTTGTCACTTAATTCGCCTCAGCTTTATATAAAAATCAGAATTCGTGGATCAGTTTGGTTCAAATACACCTCTGAAGATTGATTTCAAATGTTTAATTAAGTTTTCTAATTTTTATCACATAATCAAATTTACTTTACTTTTGGAAAGTCACATATAAGTAAAATAGGTTGAGACAACGTCGTCATCCCTATCCTATTAGCTTTACTAAAGTTGTGAGTGCATATGTTTCATTTTTACTAGCCATAGCGATTCACATGCTTTATTAATGTGCAATGTATACAAGTTTTTTAATATGTGGATTTGTTTTCTTACAAAGTTAGGAGATCAAAGACAGCGATATATGGTTGGAAGACTTCATCGGTCTACTAGTCACGTTTTCATGTCTTGATTAGGCGCACATAGACCATTTGTTAAATTAATCCTCCTTTTGGAATCATTACACTTCAGCTAGCGTAAGTAACGTTATCACATCAACATGATCTTTGAGCATGAAAGTTCGACGTAAAAAGTTGACAAAAGGCACAATGGCTTCAGTAGATAAAAAATTACCGTCGTAAATAATTGTTAACAAGCATTTATTTGAGAGATTAAAGATAACTAATAGATGATATGCTGAGAAAAAAAGAGTAAACCGTAGTCTCACAGCATCACTTCCATATGTTCGATCTTTAGTATCGATTTAATGGAGTAATAGTTTGTAGGTTGATTACATATAACAATAAGAATTACTTAAAATGGATCAAATAAAGACAAATCTTTGGTAAATGATAAGTTGTAAGAAAGTCCAAAAGGTTCTAATAAGATGTCTTAATTAAATTCGTTAAGAAAGAAAAGCAAAAGTTAACTTTCAACAACAAATCTATATATCTCTCTTTTTATTTTCTTTTGAAACGAATCTTCCACATTTTGGGTTGCAATATCGTCCATCCAGCCAATCAAAGTGTCTCTTAATTCTAGTGTTTGGGAGAAAAATCAAGAAAAAACTAGCGAGAGAGCCTTCCACAGTTTCATTTCAGTTCTGGTGAACTAATAAAGGTCCACAAATACAGGCCCATTTATGTAGTGATAAGCCCATAAAAGTCCAATGAAACCCTAGCTCTAGACGACTAGAGTCACCGTCGGGTATATATATATATAGCCACTAAACACTTCTTCTCTACCTTGCAACTTACAAATTAAAAAGCTACGCCTCCTTTTATTCTTTTCTTTCATTTAGTTATTATTTCCGTTTTTTATTTTCTTTCTTGATTTATGTGATTTTATTTGCCAAACTTTGATCGGAGAAGAGAGCGATGATTATAAAAAACAAGATTAAAATTCTGATCTGCTCTATTACTGGGCATGATAGACTCATATACACCCATAGAATATGAGCTCTCTTCTCAATCAACTATTTTTGTTTCCAAATCTCTTTATCATTCACTAAGTTTGTTTGTTCCCTGAACCAATAAAGGGAGTCTGGATTAATTAAACAACTTGTAATTTCATCAAATTAATTTTGTAATTGAACATCCGAAGAGTTTGAATTGTATTAATAACTTTATTGTTAATTATATATTAAAAAAAAATGTTGGATAAGTTATACCCCGATGGGAAATTAAAATGTGCTTGTAAGCAGAACAAGGCAAATCGTGGGAAATAAATAAGTTGACGTTTTGATGAACTTACGAAGAGAAAAGAGACTGTACACGACAGTTTGACCTATCATATGAATAACCTGTAACGAAATATTTTTTTTCTTGCAATGGACTTATAAATAAGAACAAGACTATTCAATCAGTATTCACTATTTCACTTGATCGTTTACTTGTCCAAATTAAGACCAAGACATGATTCACTTGATTGCCTTGTTTATAAGATGTTTCAGCCAAGTTTATCTATAAACAAAGTGAAGAACATTTCAATCTCCAAACTACAAAAAAGAAACGAATTGGAGCTTTATCTAGTGGTAGACAGAAAGAACAAGAAAAAGATGATGAGTCCATATTGGGGCAATGTTAACTAATAAGGTTTCTAGATAATAGGCCCATATAAGAACCAACTTATATTAAATAAAAGCCCATAAAAGCCCAAATAAACCCTAACCTTAAATCCACCGACACATGTATAAATTTACCCAAGAGACACACCATCCTTCTCATATTCGTCTCCACCACTCTCGTCTCACTCTGCAACTCAGGTAAAGCCTGCCTCCTATTATCTCATGTTCCATTATTTTGTTAATTCTAATTTGAAATATTAATTTCGTTTCTTCTTCCTCATATTTCTTCAAATTTCTATACTAATTTACTGTTATCTATTGATTTCAAAGTTTTAAATTTTTTAGAGGCGGTGATGACAAAAAACATTTCTCGATGCTGAAACTTACTCGAGGGACCAATTCACTCTTGTAATCTTTCATGATGCTTGTTTTTATGCGTGTCTGAGCCTAAAAATCTTTGTGATTTTTTTTTTCTGTAATGCTTTTTCTCATTTATGATTTGATTATCATAGATCTCAATTTATGCTTGAATTCGTTTTTATTTTTCAATTTCTAATTAGAGTTTTGCTTCATTTTCATCAGCCATGGAAGAAGCAGATCAGTTATGTTTAGCTGCTAAATCAGGCGACTTGAAAAAGGTTCAAACTTTAATAAACTCCGGCGCCGACCTTACTCACTTTGACAAGGACGGTCTAACGCCGTTAATGCACGCCGCTAAAATCGGAAACGCTGAGATAGTAACGGCCTTACTCGAATCCGGAGCTCCATGGAACGCATTAACTCCATCAAATCTCTCAGCAGGAGATTTCGCCATGGAAGCAGGACACCAAGAAACCTTCGATCTACTTCTCAAAACCGGAATCCAATCAGAGCTAATCTTAGGAACAATCGCGAGAAACCAAACCAAGAACGAGTACTCTAATCAAGAATATCTTCAAGATCGAGTTAGTTTCAGTGAAGACAAGTTAATGGATAGCGAAAGCAAAGGTGTGATGATGGCTTGGGAAAAACCATTAATGGAAGCTCACGCTAAAGCTATTTGTATCAGTGGTGGTCACATTCTAAACGTTGGATTCGGTATGGGACTTGTCGATACAGCGATTCAACGATACAATCCTAGTAAACACACGATCATTGAAGCTCATCCTGAAGTTTATAAGTGTATGATTGAATCTGGTTGGGGAGAGAAAGAGAATGTGGAGATTGTTTTTGGAAGATGGCAAGATGTTCTTGATAAGCTTGATGATGATTCGTTTGATGGGATCTTCTTTGACACTTATGGTGAGTATTATGAAGATTTGAGAGAGTTTCATCAGCATCTTCCGAGGGCTGTTGAAGCCTGATGGGATTTATTCGTATTTCAATGGGTTTTGTGGGAGCAATGCGTTTTTTCATGTTGTGTATTGCAATTTGGTGACTTTGGAGATTGAGAATTTAGGGTTTAGCACTCAGTTGATTCCATTGCCGGTTAAGGATTGTCTTGGGGATGAAGTTTGGGAAGGTGTCAAGCAAAAGTATTGGCAGCTTGATACTTATTATCTCCCTGTTTGCCAGTTCAGTGACTGAAGAAGTTTTATGAAATTCAGCAATCTTGTGATGTTGTAATTTTTTTTGTTCTCATAAAAATTAGAATTTTGTTCAAATTAGTGTCACTGAATCGAAGTAGAATCTACAAGATCTCAGACATATCTTTGAACTTTGAACCTGTATTTATTGACAACCAAATGCTAACAGTAATAAGATCTCATAGTCATGTGATGGGATCCAAAAGCCAAACTAGCTCTGTTACAAAGATCATATAAAAAGTCCTAATAAAAACATGTTGCGCAGAAGCTTCAGGTTTTCTACACGCTCTAAATAGGTGAAGACATAGTTCTCCCCACATTGAAAGGCACCGTTTGATTGAACGGGGACAACACAATTTCATTTGTCGGAGTGTGGAGGCCCAAAGCTTCGACAAGCAATGACATCTCGCTATAGATTTAGATGGCAATCTCGAGAGTATCTCGATAATGAGATCAACTGGGAGACGTTTCTGTGCCGTGTTTTCATGGCAGATACACCGCGGTTAAAATGGAAACTCTAGAGAGAGTCATTGTAGACGACGGCAATAAATATGGGTGGAGAAGAGTTGCGTTACTTTTCCACTGTTATTTGTTAGTGAAAATAAGGTGGACAGTAGTACATAACATAAGATCCCATGACTGTGAAAATACTCATTGAAATAAGATAAGGACAGACCCATAGTAAGTACATAACATAAGATCCCATAGTCATGTGATATATAAAAACCAAGAGCCAGACTAATTCTGTTACATAGATAATTAAAAAATGTTTTGCAGAAGCTTCACGTTTTCTACATGGTCTAAATAGGTGAAGACTAAGTGACCCTGAAACGCTTCCATTCCTTGTATTTCAACACTTATCATCGTCTTTTTCTCAATATTGAAGTAGAAGACGTCGAAAGGCACTGTTTGATAGCACGGCGACAACATAATTTCGTTTGTACGAGTCACTCCAACAAAGCGTAAATCGAGGGTTCCAACCATATCCTGCCACCAAGCGGGCAACACGTATATAAGCTTCGACCATTCCTGCTTTTCAGCATCTTGTAGAACCCACAACTCAATAGTTTTACTACGTCCATCAACAAAGCAATCCCTTTCAGAAACAAGTGAAGCTAATTTACCATTGTAGTTAATAAGAATTCCATCATGCGCTGCTTTAATGAAATCTTCCATGACAGTAATAAATCTAAACTTCTCGGGCCTAGCATCGAAGCAAACGATAATGTAATCCCCTGAAGACAAATCGATCGCTGGATAATACAAAACACCATTGATGCATATCTCAGACAATCCAGGAATATGAGGTATGGAACATTCAATCATTCTCCATGACAGTTCTCCAGTTCCTAGTGTCAGAACTTGATGCTCCTCACTTTCATATGACAACAATACCTTGAACTGTTTCTCAACCGGTTCATACACGAGAAAGCTCATCGCCCCAATACTCGTCGCTGGTTTAGGTAAGTTTAAGGTATGTCCAGTACTAGGATTACATATCACTGTCCCTGTTTCGTTCGTTTCCTTACGTTTAAAACAGATCAAGCCATTGACAGGACGAGAAATTTTAGAACTTAGGGAGAAATTCATAAGAGAAATGGCGGAAGAGTTCTCATATGGATTTTGAAGCTGAGGTGACGAGAAGAAGAACAAGTTACCATTTTTTTTGCAGCAGAACAAGAGTTGCGGTCGATGCAAAGATCTGGTCAAGAACAACTCCGTGAAATCTTGTCGGCAAATCACGGAGCCCCAAAGCTTCGACACGCAACGACATGTAGCTATAGATTTCGCCTGCAATCTCAAGAGTATCTCGATAATGAGATCAACTGGGATCTGGACTGAGTTTTCTATTCCATTCGGTGAGGTCTTCTTCCTCCTACTGCGTCGGGTGCTGATGGTAAGACGGTCCTTCGAAACATTTCTCCGCCGTCTTCTCATGGCGGATACACCGACGGTTAATACCCTAGAGACAGAGTGTTCTTGTAGAAGACGAACAGATTTGGGGGAAAATGAAAATATCGAAACATTTCTCCGGCGTGTTCTCATGGCGGATACACCGACGGTTAAAAGTTAAAACCCTAGGGACAGAGAGATCTTGTGGAAGACGAATCAATTTGGGGGAAAATGAGAAAATCGAATGCAGCAATTTCGTAATTTTGTTTTAATGGACTTGGATTTGAATTGGGCTTTCAAAATAAAGATGGGCTTAATACTAAACGACGTCGGATAAGTTCTCGGTCCTTTATTCGCCACGTGTTTTAATTTCTAGCTGATCTAATTTTTTATTTTACTCTCGTCTGAATTGAGTTTATGATTTTGGTTTCTGACTCACCAATGGCGATTCTCTCTCTACGATCTTCAAGCTCATTGCCACTCATTTGTTCCACGATTTCTCCTATGTGCTCGAAACCCCTGTCTCAATTACCATCGAATTTCTCATCCTCGATTGCTTCGGTCCCTTTCACCAAATTAAAATCCAGTTACAGTTCCGTTTCACCGATTAGTAGACCCCGTATGGTTTCCGCGAGAGCTGCCACTGAGTCCATCACTGATTACAGAGAAGATATCGGGGAGATTCTCGGAGATGTCTCCATCTTTACTGCTTCAGGGCAACGCGTGCAATTCAGTGATCTCTGGGATCAGAAAGATGTATGTTACAATGCTTATGAAGAAGACTTCTTTTGATTCTTTCGGATTTTTGCGTTTGATTTGTGTTTTTTTTTTTTTTTTTGTACACAGGGAATTGCTGCCGTTGTACTTTTGAGGCATTTCGGATGCGTTTGCTGGTAAATTTGATTCAAAACACTTGGGGAAATTTTCTAAAGTTAAGTATTGTTGCAACACTAATGAATTGGTTCTTGTATATGAAAGTTGGGAACTTGCTACTGCTTTGAAAGAGGCTAAACCAAGATTTGATGCTGCTGGTGTTAAATTGATAGCTGTTGGTGTTGGAACTCCTGATAAGGCTCGTATACTTGCAACTCGGGTAATCTTTCTCCATTTTCTTCGATATATATACCATCTTACTAAGTTCATGGATATGTTTTCTTGGGATGTACGTTATGCTGGCTTGTTCATTGGGTTGTTTCCTTGAACTCTCACGATAAGAAGTTCCCAGGAAACAACTATGTCTCTTTTCTGGAAAAACCTTTTGAACTTTTCATGAGAAGAACTTGCTTTTGATTTTTATGCTATGCTCTAGTGGTTTTCCTCTATGATGATAGTAGTACTATGTTTTCTAGCCATGAGTCGAGGATGAGATCAAACCGAGTCTTCTCCATATCTCTCAGTCTATCTCACTTTCACATTGCATGTACAAAGACCAAACATTAGTTAGTTGTATCACTAATGGTTATGGGCTTTTTGAGTTTGTTTGGTGTCATTGTTAATTAAAAAATCAGGCTAAGATTGGGCTGAGTTGTGTGAGATTGTTCTCAAGCTCTTTAGTGATACAATTTAGTCGAAGTAATTGTTCATTGCTTGGTCTTTGCAAAATCTGCAACACGAACATGGGAAGAGGGTGAGAGATCGAGAGATATAGGGAGGATTTAGCTTGATTTCATCCTGCATTCAAGCGCATTCTCATGGCTTTATATAGTGTACTTTTGGAGGCTCATAGCATAGGATCAGAAATACCAAAAAGCATAGCATAAACCAAAATAGTAAGTTCGAAACTTCCCAGAGAAGTCCTTGTATTATGGGAGCTTTTCCTGTAGTAAATCCCAAAATCTAGAAAGGTGACAGAGAAATAAAAGGAAACTGCGTAGATTCGAAAGACTCAACACCACATGCTTTATTGTTTAACCGAGATACTGAGTCTAGATTGTTTCCATGTTTTAGTTACCTTTTCCCATGGAATGTCTTTATGCGGATCCTGAACGCAAGGTAACACAAAACAAACATACCTTATTATAAATATATATTTTATGTTGAAATGGTGATTGAAGTTTTGAGAGGGCTATTCGTAAATATGCAGGCATATGATGTTCTTGGTTTATACTATGGTTTAGGCCGGACTTTCTTCAATCCAGCTAGCGTATGAACCGCCTCAAACATTTGTACCGTTTAGTTGTATATACTATTTTCACATCGAAACATGATAGAACTTTCATTACTGCAGACCAAGGTCTTCTCAAGATTTAACGAGATTCGAGAAGCTACAAAGAATTACACCATAGAAGCCACTCCTGAAGACAGAAGCAGTGTGTTGCAACAGGTTCTTTTTTTCTTTTTCTTTTTTTGTAGTTCTTCACAAGACAAAGATTTATCTGCTTTTATTTTTGGTTTGATCCTTTGTTCTGTCATCTTCCCAGGGAGGTACGTTTGTGTTCAGAGGCAAGAAACTGTTGTACGGTCGAAAAGACGAAGGCACTGGAGATCATCCATCTCTCGATGATGTCATCAATGTCTGCTGCAAAGCCACTGTTGCTTGAAACATATTGGATCAAAGTCTCTGGTTTGTCTTGATACTTAAAATCACTGTATATTTGTAGCTATGAAATAGTGTCTATGTTTCTTAAGTTTTGGATAAAGTATCAACACTCAGAAGTAAGAGCAACATATGTCCAAGTCCAATCTCTCTCATATAGATTACTCGCTGGATAAGCTCATTTAGATTTGCTAAGATGTCGACAATTCATTGAAACCACACAAGTCTTTTCTAATGTAAGACAAGACAAGACAAGTGTTTGGTTTGTTATTAGAATAAAATTTGTCGTTCTCACTAGTGCATAGAAATTAAAAAATGTTTGTATTTATTTGAACTCTGCACTACCCCTTGAAATAACTTGTGGATATATCACACCACATGTTTATAATACTTTATAAAGTTGATTTCAAACATATCTCTAAGTACGTCTTAGACATTTGTGATATGAATCTTCTTTCTAATAGTAGTATTTAACTATTTATGTTGGAGAAAGAAAGAAGAAGAAGGAATGAATAATATCATGACGCTACGAATCATACGATTATAATAATACTGAATTCAATACCTTATGTCCTAAACTCCTAATGTAGTCAAGCAATTATAAGAAAATTACGAATGCGGTGTGACATGACTAAGCATAAACATCTTGGTCTATTCCATATAAACTATTTTAAAGGCTGAAAACGATAAAAACGCAAATCTTGAAAATGACTATTGTATTGTATTTGTATCGTATAATACAAAATTTCGTAATTAAATCAATTTTTAATCCCAAATGGACAAATAATTTTTTTAGAATGATCTATAGATATATGGTAAACCGCATGTCAATATTTTATAACAAAAAAATCAAAATTTAAGTTGTATTTGTTTTATTTAGTGTTTAAGATTGTATAATTGTATTTTGATCGCTAATTCTAGGATTTCACCTGTAATATACCATCCCGTATTAATATCGATCTAAATCCGTCCCACTATATAACCCCGTCCCGTGAAATTAAACATCATTTTTGTAATTTTTTTTTATAAAGTTCAAATATTTCTAATATTTGAAACTTCATAAAAGTTTTAATACGACCCAAACTTCATAATTGTATTTTGATTGTTATATCTAGGATTTCACCCGTAGTATACCGTCTCGTATTAATATCTTTTATAAATATTTATAATGTTTAAACTACTTATAAATTCTTATAAAATTCAAATATTTATAATATTTGAAACTTCATAAAAGTTATAATATTATAAATAATTAAAACGTTTAATAAAGTTAGACTTTTTTATAGTTTGTATTTTCGTTTTTTATTTTTTCTTTTAAGTTTTTTAAAAATCAATGCTATCAAACTGTAGTTATCTTATATATATATAAAGATTATCATTAAACATGAAGATTTACCTAGAAAAAATAGGGTGAATAAAAAAAACTAACCATATGAAAAAATCTGACGTAAATTTAAAGCATATACTCTTGATAATGGCAATCATCAATGGGTTGCTCATCTTGTATAGGATTATCTGCGCAAGACATCAAATATTTATTAAATTCATGAATCAGAAAAATGAAAGTTCATATAACAAATAAAGATTGGAATGGGTAAGAAGAGGTATTTGTTTGATGAGTCTTCTAGTCGAGTAAAAGTGTGGTATTTATAGGGTAGGTAAGCATCTAAGTTTATTGTTAAGGTAGTTTGATAATATCTGGGAGAGAAAGTAGAAAATCAAAGATATTATATACAACGAAAGTTTAGGATATGTTTAAAGAATGATTAGGAAATCGTTATATAACAAAATTTATTTGAAAAAGATTGTAAATGATTTGGTTTTGCAGAGAATCTTAAAAAAAAGCTAAGCAACCATTTAAAAGGAATATAGCCGATTAATGTGGTAATTAGTTTAGGAAATCACATTAAACCGAATTAAAAAAATAATTAGAGTCATAACTTTGTTTCTTAAAATCAAATGTTAAGAAAAATATCGAAGAGTATATAATTATGGTATCATCGTTGAGATTTTCTTGGGCGGGAATTATGGATTCAATTAGAGAAGAGAACCATATAATGGAAAGAATTTAATTAGCCATAATTATGTTTTAAAAATATTTTATTGCATAATATAAAGAGAATATAGATGATATATGGTATGGATGTAATTAGTTAAGATGGCATAAATATTCGAAAATCATCTCGAGATAAAGAGTAATATAGCCTATTAATATGGGAAGAAGTTAAGGAATAAGAAACATAAATATATGTGTAATTATCTATATTAATGACGTTTTTTTGGTTAGAGATATGTAGAATTAAATGATAATTTGGTATTAATTAAATGCTATCAAATATCTCGGAGATTTTATTTTAGAAACTAATCGTGGACTAAGCAGAGATTTTTGCAAGATTCGTAAACGGAAAATCTTTAATGCTACTATTGATAAAAAGGAATAGAACCAATTAATGTGGGAAGTAGTTAAGGAAATAAGATTAAAACGAATTGTATGTTTAATTTAGTCTTAAATGTCGTTTTTATTACAATATTCCTTAAATCTCTTATTCTAGATCCGAATAGGTTTAAACCGGGTAAAACCCGGATCCAAATGATTAAAAGCAAAAAAAACCTGTAAAAATGTATATGTAGATATGAGTTTAATACCATTAAATTAATCAAAGATTTGTAATCATAATTGGAAACGAATAATGCAGTAAATGCGATTTAGTAATGTTGTAAAGAATATGCCATTTATGTAGAATGATTGTTGCGATTAGTTTCCAATATAGTTTTATTTTTGGCACAAATTTACTTGCTACCATGATTAGCAAGA